ATAGAAGGGCCTCCCACACCAAATGTCAATTTCTGTGACTTGCATGTTTAGCTGGCAGCATCTAAGATGTGCAGGCAGCTGACTGACTGTTTCCTTTATCTATGTTTCCCAATTTTCATCTGACCGATGTTTGAAATAAACCTTTCTCTCTTTTCACTCACACAACAGCTATTTTGTTTTCTTTAAAACACCTATTATATTCCATGATAAACTATTTTTTATGGTTAAAGAGTTTCATGTCAATACTAAGAGAACTTTAATTTAAAGTTGATATTTTTAGGCTAAATATAACAGGGATGAAACATAAAATTCTAGATCTATAAAGACAACTAACTTATAAACGGTTAAGAATAAATTTGCTTAAATTGAAACTATTGAGGATAATTAGAAATGCAGGTTGATGTATGCTAAGTAATATGCATAATTCCTTACTTAATCTCCTGGCATTTAAAATGTTTAAGTTTCCCATATTAGACAAAACTGTCTCATGCCTCTTTCTTGCTGCAAGGGCTTTGTTGAAATTACACTTTTGGGTCATTTAGATTAGATTATATTTCTTTTTTTCCCTTACAACAAAATTCCATACTTTTTATTCGAATTCCTGATTTCTGTTTTTATTATTATTATTATTATTACAAATTTTTACCTCCTCCCATTTCCCTGCCCCTCTCCACATTCCCCCCTTCCTCTCCATTCCAAAGAGCAATCACAGTTCCCTGCCATGTGGGAAGTCCAAGATCCTTCCGCCTCCATCCACGTCTAAGAAGGTGAGCATCCAAACAGACTAGGTTCCCACAAAGTCAGTACATGCAGTAGAATCAAAACCCAGTGCCATTGTCCTTGGCTTCTCAGTCAGCCTTCCTTGTCAACCACATTCAGAGAGTCCAGTTTGATCACATGCTCTATCAGTCCCAGTCCCAGCTGGCCTTGGTGAGTTCCCATTAGATCAGCCCCACCATCACAGTTGGTGGGCGCACCCCTCATCTTCCTGACTTACTTGCTCATGTTCTCTCTCCTTCTGCTCCTCATTTGGACCTTGGGAGCTCAGTTCAGTGCTCCAATGTGAGTCTCTGTCTCTATCTCCATCCAAACACTATCCTGAGTGAGGTAACCCAGACCCAAAAAGATGAATATGGTATGTACTCACTCATAAGTGGATTCTAGCCATAAATAAAGGACATTGAGCCTATAATTCATGATCCCACAGAAGCTAAATTCGAAGGTGAACTCAAAGAAAAACATGTAGTTATCCTCCTGGATATTGGAAGTAGACAAGATTGCCAGGCAAAAATTGAGAGCTTGGGGGTGGGGGTAGGGTGGGGGTAAGGGGAGATGGGGAGAGAGAAGTGAGAAGGGGAGGATGGGGAGAGTTTAGAGGAATGGGACGGTTGGGTTGGAGGAAGAGTGGATCTGGGAGAAGAGAAGTATATATCTTAATTAAGGGAGCCATTTTAGGGTTGGCAAGAGACTGGATTCTAGAGGGGTTCCCAGGTTTCCAAGGAGATGTCCCCAGCTTGTTCCTTGAGCAGCTGAGGAGAGGGCACCTAATCTGGCCCTATACTATAGCCATATTGATGAATATCTTGCATATCACCATAGAACCTTCATCTAGATTAAATTTCTTATACTAGATCTAAAAATCATTTACTTTGTTACCAAATTCCAAATAGAGGAGAGCTCACCAAGCAGGTTTCAAAGTAACTTTTTACTATTCCTTTGATTAAAGATACTCACTCTACATCGACTGCTCTCAATAATCTATGGCCCATGTCTGTTGATTAATTAAACAAAAAATATATTAGGATGTAAAGTTTTTCAAATATATAAAGGTTTAATCAAATGATTTTTGGGGAAATTGAAAATAAGGTCTAAATATATAAACAATAATAATGCAGATTTCCTTCCCCTTCTATGATATTGTTATATTACGATTTCAAAAGTTTAAAGTTTAACATTAATAAAATTCTAAATAAACTGATGCTTGCTATTCAGCCATAAGCTCAGGATCCTATATTCCCTGGTCATTTCTTAAATATAGATAAAAATACTTCTGATTTTAATGGAGGAATTTTCCTGATTTACATATATCCAATCTCCTAAACAAATAATTTGGTAATTGCTTTTAACCAAAATTATTTTTAGGTTTCTAAACTTCTATTATGACTCAAGAAAAATGATTCTCTTGCCTTTTCTATAACATGGATTTCATACAGACTACATATATTAATAATAATACTGAATTATCTTACATTTTTGCCTCATAAAAAAGTTCTTATAAGCTTCAAGAGATCAACTTGGGTCAACCATCTTCACAGTCAAAATGAACTCAGATAAGTATTATTTGTCAACAGTTTATTTTCAAGCCTGCCTATTTGAATTTGGGAAGGGGGGGACTTTTCCTCTCTCTTTGACCTGGACTACCCTCTCTCATCTGCTAAAACACATAAAATTCCAAACGTGGACCTGAGAGAAAAAGTTTCCTCTTTAAAATGTCTTAATTTCATGTTCTACGATTAATGCATATTTACTCCACTAGATTCACAATCGTTGAAAGGGTTACAAATTGCTCTGTCATCCTCTTGGGCATCAGCATCGTCTCTGCAGCCCTGTGCCCAGCCTTCCAGCTCACACTCCAGGGGATTCTGCTGTGCTCTCCTGGCCTTATCTTAGCACAGGGATCTGTTTCTTATTTTTGTTTTAAAGACACAAAATTGGGTAAGAATGGATCAGGTGATTCTTGGAATCAGGAAGAGTGTAAATGGGATCAAAATAATTTGAAGAAACTTCTCAAAGAACAAAAAACCTTAAGAATAAATTTGAGTAATCTGAATTAGGAGAAGGTGTGAATCCCAAATTACTTGGATGCTTCCTATAATGTGCCTGAACCATTTGCTTTTATAGTCATAATTTACTTTTTCTTTATTTGTGTGTGAAACATTGTCTCTCCCTGAACAAGACTGATGTCCAATAAACTCTAGGGATCCTCTTGGCTTGTCCTCTGTAGACCTGAAATAACAGAAGTGTGATAAGAACCCTGCTTGGATTTTTATGTGAGTGATGAGAATTTGAATTTAGGTCCTTGTGTTTCTACAACAAAATTCTTACCCACTCACCTTTTTCTCCAGCCCATATAAACCTAAGCCAGGCATTGTGGCACACTCCTTTAAACACACAACTAAGGAGGAAGAGGCAGGGAAATCTCTGAGTTCAGGGCCAGCCTGCTCTACATAGTTTGACTCTGTCTCAAAACAGAAAAAGAAGAAAGAAAAAGATTTTTTTCCTATATGCTGTTAAAATTATTCATTTATCAGTATGGTTATAGGATAGGGCCCTTTCAGGTTCCTTCTCCTCAGATGCCCAAGGAACTAGCTGGGGACATCTCCCTTGACACCTGGGAGCCCCTCTAGAGTCAAGTCTCTTGCCAACCCTAAGATGGCTCCCTTTATTAAGATATATACTTCCCTGCTCCCATACCCACCCTTCGTTTATCCCAACCATCCCATTCCCTCACACTCTCCTCACCCTTCCCTTCTCACTTTTCTCTCCCCATTTCCCCTTACCCCCATCCTACCCCACCCCCCAAGTTCCCAATTTTTGCCTGGCAATCTTGTCTACTTCCAATATCCAGGAGGATAACCATACTGATGAATATCTTGCATATCACCATAGAACCTTCATCTAGCGATGGAGCCATCTTAGGGTTGGCAAGAGACTTGAACCTAGAAGGGCTTACAGGTGTTCAGGAAGATGTCCCCAGTTAGTTCCTTGGGCAGCTGAGCATAGGGAACCTGAAATAGCCCTATCCTATAGCCACACTGATGAATATCTTGCATATCATCATAGAACCTTCATCTGGCGATTGATGGAGATAGAGGCAGAGACTCAGACTGGAGCACCGGACTGAGCTCCCAAGGTCCAAATGAGGAGCAGAAGGAGGGAGAACATGAGCAAGGAAGTCAGGACTGTGAGGGGTGCACCCACCCACTGAGACGGTGGGGCTGATCTATTGGGAGCTCACCAAAGCCAGTTGGACTGGGACTGAATAAGCATGGGATAAACCCGGACTCTCTGAACATGGCGAACAATGAGGGCTGATGAGAAGCCAAGGACAATGGCACTGGGTTTTGATCCTACTGCATGTACTGGCTGTGTGGGAGCCTAGCCAGTTTGGATGTTCACCTTCCTAGACATGGACGGAGGGGGGAGGACCTTGGACTTTCCACAGGGCAGGGAACCAGGACTGGTGTTTGGGGAGGAGGGGGGGGGGGGGGGGGGGGGGGGGAGGGGGAGAAAAGAGGGGGGAGGGGAAGAGGAGAGAGGAATGGGGAAGGGGGAGAGGAGGAGGGAGGGAAATGAGAGGTGGGGAAAAGGCGGAATTTTTTTTCAATAAAAAAATTATTCATTTAACTGGTGGGAAATTTCCTTGTCCATAAGAAACAAGTTTGAACAGCTCACTGTCAGCTTTTAGGGGGAATCCTTTGAAGGGCCAATGCTCATGAGAACTTACTGTTCCTTTCAGATTATTTACACAGAGCAATGGAAGGAAACTTACCCTGTGTTTACTATAAGTCACATGAAGATACTGGCAAGTCATTTCCCTGGGTTATCTCATCTGAATCTGAGGAGCTGGTATGAGTAGACTTATTTTTTCAAGTCTATTGTGAACAAGATTATTGGGTCAGATAAGGTCATAAACCTACCCAGTTTCTTTTGTGAATAAAGTTGACCCAGTTTAATGATATAAAATGAACTTCTTGTAGAAATATATCTCCATTTTAGACACATAGTTCCTTTGTCAGGAACTTAGTTGAAACTAACCAGTCTTACAAGCACAATTCTGACAACATGGTCCATTCCATGGGTCTGTTTTGAAGACTCCTGTGTTGGGCAAATTGCTAGTCCCTGAGAATGTTTTCTACTTTCCTATGAGGATCCAGGAAGGAAAATGGATTACAAATAAAACTTTTTATTAGGGATAAATGAAGAAGTAACTTAGAAAGTGATATTTCAAAATGAAATAGTCTTTATTCATCTAATAAAAAAATAAAGTATAGACATAACAATCAGGGTTTTTTTAATAACAGTGTTGGAAGATGGGAAATAGAGCAGCATCTGTTGATATCAGGGTACAAAACATCTTTTGACAAAGACTAGGCAGAAGCAAAAGGAATTTGGCATTCGAGGATATAGCTGTTGGGTTTGCTACAGATCCATCTCCTGTCTGCATAGATCCTGGCAGTGCTGATCCCGTTGTTGTTCAGGTAGGCATAGTCTTCCACTCCTCGGATGGGAACCCTGAAAATAAACCAAAACCAGTAAATCTGCAGAGTCCAGAACTGCATTCTCTCCTCAGTGTGATCTTGCCTATCTGTCCTGATTATTTGTAATATGAATCAAAGGAAGACAGAGTCCATGATAATCATCTGCTCTAGTTGTGCTTCTATTGTCTTTTATATTCTTAGGGTTTGATTTGAACACAGAAACTTTGACATTCATCCATGTTGAACCAACTTTTCAATGTGTTTCCAGAGTTTTGTCTTATGCTTGCTGCCCTGTTCAAATGAAATACAGCCATGGGTGGCATCATTGAGGTTGATTTTCAATTCTGTTTTGAAGCATTTCACATATGAGGAAACTCACTTCTTTGAAGAGGGTGTTCAAGACAGGGTTTTTCTGTAGCGTTGAGGTCTGGCCTGAAAGTAGCTCTTGTAGACTAGGCAGTCCTTGAACTTACAAACACTTGACTGCTGCTGCCTCCCTAGTGCTGGGATTAAAGGCATGTTTCAGCACTGCTCAGCTGAAACCCACTTCTTAGTAAATTTCTGAAAAGGATTAAATGATGGACAAGAAGTCTGTGATACTATTCCTGTTTAATGGCTCCATTCAAAACAACTATTCTCACACCCAAGAATGGTCTTGGTGCTCTCTAGGTACAAGACTTTAGAGGAGGTTTCCAATGCCCTTGGAGCCTCTGCTTCAGTGAGTAGGTACAACTGTGTACACAATGGACTGTTGGGTCTCAGGCTTGCCCTTCTGCAGTGGCTTCCTGAAGTTTCAGGGTCCTCATTGCTTTTTTGACATTGTGTCTACATTCCACACAGGGCATTTATCAACAACAAAAATATTTAAACTGGTGAAGAAACAGACAATAGCTACCCAAGATGCCATCATCATGCAAAAGATTTTGAGGAAAATCACACTAGTAAAGGTTTTGAAAAAGAAGACAAATATACCTCCGAGGCAGTAAAGTGAGGTTCATATGACACAGCCTTTCCTCTCTAATAGACACAACAAACACACTTCACAACAAATCATCATAGTAGAAGAAAAATGGTTTGAAAACATACGAGCCGTTATATTCCGTGTTGTCCATCCACCTCCAAGGGTGCTCTGGTGACTCTCTGTGTAGGCCGATCCAGTAGTCAAAGGTCCCTTTATATCTCCTCAGGAAGTTCTGTCATAAAACATGGAAAGTAAATATATGTATCTCTTTGTTTCAGATGACCCTTGAGTGTCCCCACCCCACAACTTCCTCTTTAGATGACAAGAGCGCATATATGAGGGACACAGACTTTGGAGCCATAATAGCCTTCAGTTCTCAGTGTATTCAGTTGACAGTCATAATTATTAAGTACCTCATTTGAATTAAAGTTAAGTTTTATGACATATTCATCATGGCTGGGTTAGTTTCTGGTTAAGCTTCCCCTTGCAGTTATTAACAGTTGTCACCTTCAGGATGCAGCATTTGCTAGCTTGGAGAAAACTGCTCATCACCAGCAGGTATCTCAGTAAAATGGTATAACTTACCTTCCAGATTGACTATGAGCACTACCTGAGAAAATGTTGCTTGAATGTCTCAGGGCTTCACTTAGGAGCGCTACCATCAACAAATGGCACACACTCACTTGTTACCCATGTTTCCACCTGCAAGGGTGGGATCCTTCCTCATGTTTTATCTTTAATCAACCTATCTCAAGGAAACACATGCTCAGCAGAACAAACCAATAAACCAATTCCTGATCCTTTCTTACCAGCTCCTCCATGTTGTCAAATCGAGCTATCTGTGCCTTTAATTCCATGCAGAAGTTCTGACTGAATGTCCAGTTACTTGTGTCTTCCGAAAAATAAAAACATTTACTCCCAAATCCAATCCAGTTTCTTGGGCAAGAACCATGAGTGTTTTTGATTGAGACATCTTCTGACTTTCTTACTAAAATGTAGACAATAAAATAAATTTTAAAAGGCATTTACATACCCTACTGAGCTCAGTTATGAGGTGTGAATTTGATTAACCGATCTGTAGAAGTACTCTGTTTAGGAAGATGGTCCTTTATCTAAAGGCCTTTCAGTTCAAGCCTGTGCCCCAATCTCTCTGTTTCTGACTGACAATGGGGTGACTAGCAAATGAATTTCTACAATATCATCACTATTTGTGCTTTATCATTGTTCACTACAATATGTGTCGCTAGATAAACAAGCACTCTGTATGGACACTTACTTTGACAGTCAGCCTAATAATTGAGATAACAGTGAGAACTATTGGGAAGGTAGTGTTACAGTGTGGACCTGCTGCACTAAGGGCTTGCTTGAAGGTTGGAAAACATTGCTGGCTGGTTAGAAGTCAGTCTGCCATAGCCAAGTATCTCTCTCTTTCTAAGTTTGACAATATGGAACTCCCTCCTTCCCAAACAAAACTTCTTGCTCTCTACCTAGCCTTATCTGGATGATGTCCCTGGGCCTGGATGCCTGACCTTATCTGAAAGCTATCTCTAAACCAGATGCCTGTTTTTAAAACCAGATGCTTGATCCGTCATTAACTTGACCCTTGATATAGATCCCTGCTAAGAATAGTGCTAGGAACTCTGCTAAAGGACCCTATTGCTACATACCAAGTCTTGTGACAGGAGCATGTCACTTAATACAAATTTGGGTTTTCCCAGTATCCCCCATCTTATTTATTCTTTATACTCTGGAATAAAGTTGAGCTGATTCACCTAAGTCTGTATCCCAGATGCCTCTGTTCATCTGTGTTCATGGGTATTGACCGAGGTTTTTGTCCTGCCTGGTTCCACAGCCATTCAGTCCCAAGTAAACACACAGAGCTCCACTTTGATTATAAACTGGTTGGCCTATTAGCTCAGACATCTTATTAACTAGTTATTACATCTTATAGTAACCCATAATTCTTGTCTGTGTTAGTTAAGTGGCTTGGTACCTTTTATCAGTGAGGCATTCTCATCTTATTCCTCTGTGTCTGGCTTCCTCTGTGATGATTGTAGACTGACTCTTTCCTCTTCCCAGAATTCTCCTGTTCTCATTGTCCCACCTCTACTTCCTGCCTGGTTGCCCTGCCTCCACTTCCTGCCTGGCTAATGGCCAATCACCGTTTTATTAAAACAATACAATATAAGTGACAGGGTACAAGACCATTCTCCAACAGCACATGGGCTGTATAAAGAACTTACTATGACCCCCTTTTATTCTTTACCCTCTCAACCTGGTGGCCAACGGACTGAGAGGGAAATAGGTCTCCTGCATAGAAGGCAATAGTACAAGACTTTTATTACAGTTAGAACAGTGTGGTTCTAAAATCCTATAAATTGATCACCTCAAAAACCTTTCAATGAATGCATTCAAAATACAGTCGAACATTTTAACTAACACCATGGGTAATGGGAGGGAAGTACTGTATCTTCCTGGCCATATTACTCTTCTTTATACTAACACTTCCTTGAAGTTCCTTCTTTGGATATTGTTCTTCTTGTGGTCTATCTTGAATAGTTCCCCAAGGTAGACATATATCTCCTGCATCTCTTTAGAGGTTGCTGAATGTCCTCTTCCCAGGGATGCAGAGCCTGGCCTCCTGAGCACATCACAGCCTGTGATGTTCCTTTGCTGCGTCTTTCTGCTAGACCCTAAGTTCCCAGAGAACAGGAATTTCCAGTGTGTTTTCTCTCCTGCCCTTCCCACAGTGCCTGGCTCACAGTGCTCAGTAAGTGCAACTGACAGTGTGGATGTGGACAGAATGCTGCAGGATCTGGAGAATGTCACTCACCTGACAATGACAGAGCCACAGAAAGTGCAATCACAGCTCCAGTGAGGACGATGATCACTGCATAGCAGCAGTAAAGCCTAGCAGGAGACTCAGAGGAGATGATTCTGAGACATTTTCCTTGGAGCTTTTTACCTGAAAAATATAAATATGAGAAAATCAATCTCAAGAACCTTTCAGAGGAGAGGATAAATTTACTCAGATGGAACACTTCTGCACTTCCAGTGCTAGAGAGGTAGAAGCTGGAGAGTCAGGGGTACAAGACCAGCCTTGGATATAAAGGAGGTCTGAGTCCAACCTGGACTACATAACGATCATTTTTAAAAAACATAGCAAGTAAATAAATTAGTAAACACACATATAAATGTATATAATAGAACACATTGACATAATTAATGGGTGAAATATGGGAGCATTTTAATAAGTTTTCAAAATCATATGAAATAAATTAATATTAGTTCAAAATACAAAAAACTCACTGCAAGTTAGAAATTGAAGGCATTTCTTAGGTGTTAGAATCATGATTATGCTGGCCTGCACTGTCACCTGGTAGAATGAATCCAGACAGTACCCTGTCCCTTTAAGAGATAAGTTCTGCCCACTCCCTGTCTCTTTCTGCCTCTTTCTTCTATTTCTACCTGCTGTTCTTCTGAAGAGGCTGCTCTTTCTTTCTCCCTCTTTCCTTTTGCTTCACTTTCCTCCGACCCCCAGGTCTGTGTGTGTGTGTGTGTGTGTGTGTGTGTGTGTCTATCTCCCTCCATACCCTCCCAATACCTTCTAAATAAAATCTCCATAGCCCAGCTCTCTCTGTAAGGCATATTCTGTCTCTTGCTGGCATTCCACACCCGCCATGATACTTGTGTTGTCTTTCTTTAGGCTTAGATCTTCCACAGATCTAGGGCAGGGAGCTACAAAACAAGCTGTCTGTCATGCAACTTATCTTGAGAATCTGATTAGAGATGTGTGTGGTTTTGTTTTGTTTTTTGGTCACTCTGACCATTGCTAAATTATTTCTGCTTGAGTTAATTTAATCCATCTGTTTTCCTGTTGGCTTTTTTTAAACCTTCTGTAAAACAAATGTTGTACTTTGAGTTACTTTCATATTTCTGAATCCAGAACTGTTTGTAGTTCAATGGTACTTGGAACATAAATCTAAGGTCAACTGTTTATACTTGAACAGCTTCTGAAGAGGAAATTTCAGGTCATAGGTGTCCATGGTTTGGGAACAGAGGAAGGCAGTGTCTGGAGAAAATCTGCAATGGGCCTCAGAGGAATTTGGGTGAAGTTATAGATTTGTCTTTCACTGTGAGGAAGATATTATTGGTATATGTTTTCAAAACTCAGAAATGTACAACTAGTGATGGTGGCTCAAGCCTTCAATTCCAGTATTGGGGAGGCAGAGGCAGAGAGGAGGATCTCTGAGCTTGAGGCCAACCTGGTCTACAGAGTGAGTTTAAGGGCAGCCAGAGCTACACCGAGAAACCCTTTCTTGAAAAAACAAACAAAGCAAAACAAAACAAAATATTAAAGCAAAAAACAAAACACAAAAACCAGTTCACTCACAGACCCAGATATGGTTTCAGAAGAGTGAAGTTGCAGAATGCCTCCAGTTACACAACATCCACTCTTTTGGACAGGGGCTCTGCTTTCACAAGAGATATGTTCCCTTTGGGTAAGTATTTGGTTTCAAAAGTCGATGCTGCTGGGAAAAGAAGGAGGAACTATTGTCCAGCTTGGAATATAGTATGAAACTTTCTCAAAGAATCAATCGATAGGCAGCCATCAGAAGCAGCAACAACAGCAGTATCAATAGTTAATAATTATTTTAGTAATAGGAAATTTCAGTTAGGATAATACTTGGTTTAAGTGATAAGCAATAACATTTGTTATGATTTTTTTATTTTGGTAAATATTAGTCTTATTTTCTCAAAATCCAATATTCTTTCCATAAATGAAAAAAAAAATAAGGTGGAGGGACAAGGAAGAAGGAAAAAAGAAGATAAAACAGCAGAGTATAATGAAGCATGGCCATTTTCAAAATGCAAGAAACACAGTTTTGCTTTCTTCCTGAAGACTGAAATAGAAAACCCTTTATATTCTTTTTCCATAATTTACTAGCAGCTCAAAATGCAAAGGATTTGGTCCTGGGTGGGGTCAGCCTGGACACTAGACCTCCTGCCTCCTCCTTACATCCTTTTCCATTACAGTGACTCTGTAAAGCAAAAGCCACAGCTTCCCAGGCACCTCCTGCCACTACACACTGCAAACGAACTGTTGTTTGAATTTGCCGTTGCTGTGGGACTTGTAGAGCAAGCATGTTCCACAGGGACTTGGTGTAATTCACCAGAGTCATTTATCAGATCCCTAGGAAAAGAGTGGACTAGCAAGCCAAGAACAAAAAAAAAAAAAAAAAAATCATGATTCAGGCTTTTGTTTGGCAATTCACTGTTCATTTCTCTCGCACGAGAACTATTTAAGTATTATATGCCCCAATAGAATAACTACTATAACAGCCTCTTAGGTAACTAAACTCCTATCTGAGTTCTCTGGTTCTGCAGAATCTCACCATGACACACTTAAAGACATGAGGTTCAGCTCCCCTGCCTTCCCCGTCCGTTACTGTCCCTTGCAAACACCTCTCTGATCTTGTAGTTCTGTTCGCTTATGCATTAAATACATACCCATCTTGACCTCATGCAGGCTGTCTGTGGTACTGAGCATGCTCACAAAAGCGTCTGCAGGTTCTGCAGCACTCATCTCCGATAGAAACTAAAACCGTTGAGAGAGAAGAAATACCGTTTGTGTTTGTGGCCTGTTGCCCTGTGCACTCAGCCTTTGTATCATGACAGGCACACTTCCCTTTCGTAATTATTAACCCTTTCCTGCCTTGACAGAGTTTAGCCCATGTTGCTACAACTCTGAGTTTTGAGGACATCACTTAAGAAGGGGGCACCAGAGCCAGATCAGAGGATTTGTGTGCTAAAGATCCAGAGATTGGATCTCTGGGAGACAGAGTCAGAATGGAGAGAGCTGGAGACCACAGTGTCCACAGTCACTGAACATATTTCTTACCTCTCCGGGAATGAGAGATAATTTATTCTGGAGCCAATTATGGGTGATTCGGGCTGTGTCATATGACAGGTTCAAATATGGAAGTGTTTGGTGGTTGGTGTGGGGTTAGAAAGGACACTGCCACCGTCACCAGTCCAAGAAATGCCTCTAGATGAGTGGTTCTCAATGTTCTTAATGCTGCGCCCCTTTAATAAGTTCCTTATGATGTGGTGACACCCATCATGAATTTATTTCATTGTATGCAACTGTTATGAATCAGATTATCAATATTAATATGCAGGATATCTGATATTTGACCCCGGTGAAATAGTTGTTCGATTCTCCCCCAAAGAGGTCACAACCCACAGGTTGAGAGCTGCACAGATTTTTAGGGAACTTTTACTTAGGCCAAATCAAGTTTTATTACTTTGATGCTAAAACAAATTTCAGGACTAGACAATTTATGAAGCAGAGTTGAAGTTTTTCTAAAATTTACTTGTATTATATTGAATTATATATATGTGGCTGTGCCTGTCTCTGGGGCTGTGCCTGTAAGTACAGGTGCCTGCAGAGGTCAGAAGAGGGTGCCAGATTGCTCCAGAACTGAAACTGCAGGCTTGAAGAGTTTGGATTTAGAATGCAGGTGCTTCAGAATTGTAACAGCAGAATGTCATCATCCTCAAGAAAAACAAATTTAACATTGTTTTTATCACTTAGGAACAAATGCAAGGAAAATTGTAAACATCTGTGAAACTTTTTTGAATGCTGGAATAAAATATTTGGGTGATGGATACGGTAGTGCATGACTCTGATTCCGGAACTAGGGAGGTTGTGACAGGTGGATCTCTAAGAGTCCAAGGCTAACCTGGTCTACAGAGGGAGCTCCAGGCCAGCCAAGGTTAAGTCAAGAAAATACTACAAATGTAGGGGCTGGAGAGAAAGCTCATCTGTTAAGATCCTTGGCTGCTTTTCCAGAGGACCCATGTTCATATCCCAGTACCTACCTGGAAGCTCACACTTGTCTGCAACTCCAGAGGATCTGACACCCTTACACCAATGAAAACAGTAAAAATAAATGTTTAAAAACACCACAAACTTAATAAATTAATTATATGAAATGTGTAACAACAGCACATAATTAGTATAGTAATATAACATATATAAATAAGTATACTATAAAATATGAGTTAATATAAATGCAGTCAGAGGGCTTCCGAATTCAGGTATTTGGGGCACTCAACAGTCAATGTAGCTGGAGACGAGTGTCGCCCAGATTTTCTGATGTCCAGGTATAATGCAGGATATTTGTTTATACTACATGAAAATATGTATATGTTTTACCTCACCTGCCTAAGACACCTGACTGATTTAATAAAAATCTGAATGGCCCTTAGGAGAGGATAGGTAGAATTTCTGGGGAGAGAGGAACTCCGCGAGTAAGAAAGGAGGAGATGCTACTGAGATGCAGAGGGAGTTGGACATACAGAATGGACAAGAGATAAAAAAAATCCACATGTTGGGATGAAGATTAACAGAAATGGGTTCTGAGGGTCATGCTGCAGCTTGGGGGACATACAGATCTGAGTATGATACCTAGTGCCATGATGGCATCCAAGTCCAGGCTACAGTTGAGGACCATGTCTAGGTCCATGACTCTACTGCAGTCAGGATAATGTTGTGAGAGTAGAAGTTAGACCTATGTCTAGTAGGCAGACAGGAAATGGAACAATAACTAGATAATAGGAAGGCCAAGTTTTCAAGATGGCAGCTTCTTTCTCACACTCTTGACCTAAGACAAAGCCTGGCAGCTTAAAACAAAGTTGTAGAAGGCTTTTAATCTGGCCAATAGCATACACTCTCCTCCATAAACATGCATAGCAGCTTCAAGTCCTGATCCCTCCCCTGCCCTACTCTCTATACTCTTCTCTCTCTCCCCTTCCATTTTCTATTGTTTGCCCTTCCCTCTTTCTCCCTCCCACCCCGTCTCTACCCCTCTCTCTTTCTACTTCTCCCTCTCTCCCGTCTCTTTTCTCCCTGATCCCCCTGCCCTCAGCTTGCTTTTCGCAACATACAGATCACAAAATCCTGCTGGAAGAGAACAAGAGTCCGTGGCAGCCATGGTGGAGCCATCTGGAGACTGACTTTTCATTTACTGGTTTACTTTGTGTTTTGTTTCTTTTCAGAGGTCTAACTTAGAAGTGAAACCATTAATACAAGCTGACTTTACTAAGTCCCAAGGACTTTCAGTGCTCCCCTAGCTGGAGGCCTCTCCCTTTAACCCCAGAATTCTGAGCCTGAGCCAGAGATAACAGATGGCTTCCTGCAACAGAGTGTAGCCTGACACAGTGATAAGGACAGTCTGGCACAGCGATGGGAACAGAGCGAACTCTAAGTCAGTGATAAGGACTTCTGGTCCTTCTTAGGCCCACAGCAATTCTGGGAGTCCGGGAGCCCAGAGGGGGCCTAGGCAGAAATAGACTCCTGGCCTGGTTTGGGGAGACATATCCCTGGAAACCCAGGGACAGTTAGGCAGTGGGGTTATGTTGTATGATGGAGTAAGAATGGGCACAAGTACCTGTCTATTTCTTCAGGCCCACAGAAGGCACAATGTCAAAAGCAAGTTTTCATAACAGTCAATATTTATTCTTACACTGGGCATGTGCTTTTCACTCTAGACAGTTGACCTTAGGGAAATGGATCAAGGGGAGGACAGATAATAAAAAAAGTTTCAGTACTTTCCACTCAATTTTCCTCTAATATTTGTCTGGTTGTTTGTTTTTGTTTTTTTAGACACGAGGGAAGACACAGAGTTTTGTGTGACATTGGAATTGCTGGAACATTAGATCTCCAGGCAGGTCAGAGGTTCTGTTCTTGGCCAGCAGTTTTCCCTTAAAGGGCCTTTACCACCACTGTAACCATTTCAGAGGTAACTGCAGTTCATCTGCCCTGACTCTCAGGAGTTATAGGAAAGCGGAAATGGGAAGAGCCAACTTTCTTCCTTGAAAAGCATGCTTTATTGTACAATAAACAATTATACTCACTGGCCATATTCACCTGTTTGAAACATGGGAGAGCTACACATTGGCCATTAAAAATTAGTTTACTTACTACCGAAGGGGGGCACACCCATGCCACAGCATATGTGAGAGGTCATGTGGTCACAGGAGCCAGTTCTCTTCTGCTTCCTTGGGCTATACTTTCTGTCTTGCTTACAGATTTGGAAGAAATCTGCATACTTTTTATTTAACATACAAAAATACAGTAGTGAGCGCTTCTTTAGAATTTATTAGGAAATCTTCAACTTCTGAGTACAAATTACTTTTGCAGAACTAGTACTTCCTGGACTGGAGAGATGATGACTGAGCAGTTAGGAGATTTATCTGAGCTCTGTCCCCAGAACCCACACTGGGTAGCTCATAACTGCTTATAGGACCAGTCCTGGAAGATCTGTTACCATACACACATGCACATAAATTTTTAAGAAAGAAAGGGGGAAGAAAGGAAGAAGAGGGAGGGAGGAAGAGAGAAAGGAAGGAAGGAAGGAAGGAAGGAAGGAAGGAAGGAAGGAAGGAAGGAAGGAAGGAAGGAAGGGAGTTCCTTGAATATTTTCAGTTATCGCCCTCCCACCTTACACTATTGCTGCCCAACTCCCCCCAAATTCCCCATTCAGCCAGAGTCCTGGAGTTCTGAGGTGTAAGATGTTGTTGGCTGGCTTTATTTTGAGGTTGTTTCAGGATTTGAAATAGACCTCAAAAATAGACTTCATCCACCCAAGGATTTTTTGGACTCTTTGAGTTTCATTTCTCAGCAAAGCTTGTGGCTAAAGAGAAAAGAAAGTATAAGTAATGCATTTCTTTTACAAAGTAAGAGCTCTGGATCTCTAACCAGCTCGAAGGAATGATTCAGCCTGGGTGCAGTATTAAATGATTGGTTTTTTCCTTTTTGAAATTCCAAAAGATAAGAGTCGGCAGTTAGACTGCAGGGCCCTGCTTTGAATGGTCACTAGGATAGCCCTGCCAGGTCCTGCCTACTTTCTGTAATCAGAGGGGAAAAAAGGAAAGAAATAAAAAGAAAATGAAATCATGAAGTACCTAGCACAGATTGCCCCATTCTGGAATCATGTTTGATATTTCATCAGAAGAAAGACCTCATTGTCCTCTGTAGTTAAGGGTAGAGACATTTACTTTCTTAATCACTATAATTTGTTTTTTTAAGACATGTTCTCTCACTGAACCTAGAACTCACAGATTAAGCTAAGCTAACTGGCCAACAAGTCCCTAGGATCTTCCAGTCTCTACCCTCCTGGAACTGAATTCATGAGCTCATGTCACCAGGTCGAAATTTCTTATGTCAGTTCTGAAGGTTGGAATTCATGTGCTTTCACTTATGTGGCAAGCACTTTAATGACTGCCTAGGACCTGAAGAGGATCTTTAGGAAAAACATATAAAATATTTTCATTGCCTTCAGAATGAAATATTTGTGCTCAAAAGCTGTTAGAAACTGTTTCAATAACTAGCCCCATTCTCCATTCCTGATTGTTACCTTAATGAACAGATTATAAAAATTATGTGAAAAGCGATGTTTTATGTGACCTGCTAAGTGGTAATAGGGTTGTGGTAATAGAACTCACTAAAGAATATAAAGTTGGTAGGACACAGAGCTACCACATCTATAATCCCCACTGGGGAGGTAAATGCCAGAAGATAAGGACAACTTGGGCTATGTATGACAATTTCTCAAAATTGCCTTCCAAAAAAAAATAAGAAGAACATCATTGGATTTTATTGATTTGCTTATAGTAACACACAGCTGTTGGGGACACAGAGATTCTTGTTCTCATAGATAAGCACTAAAGGAACCTGGAATGTAAAACACAGATGTATAACCTGTTTTCTGCCCAGAAGACTAGAAATGGATGTTACTGATAACTTGGTGACCTCTCTCTGTAGAGCAAGGCCACACCTGACTTCCTAAAACTCTTCCAACTGAGACCCTCATTGTGAGCACTGATTCTCAGTCAAAGATGCTCATCCTTATGGGAGATGTCACATGGACTTCACAAAGGGGAGCAGAGGTGGATAATAGCTTAGGGGGCCTCTATGCTATCTGTAAGACCATGACCACACCAAATCCTCCCCAGACCCTTAAGATATCGCATGCAGTCAACATAGAACCGATTTTTATGGAAGAAGTCACAGGTACTTTACAGTTCAATGTAGTGATGCCTTAAGCTTTCTTGTGCACATAGGATTGAGTTCATTGTCACCAGGAAACTCAATTCTAAAATTGTGCTGTGTTTAAATGTGTTCTGTTGCGGAAGGTCCTTCCGCTCCTCCAGCCAATAGCTGCTGAGTGGTGCCCAACGTGAAGTTGGAACCCATGACCCTGGGATTAAGAGTCCCATGCTCTACTGACTGAGCTAGCCGGGCTTAAACAAAAGTGATTTTCTCTGATTGGATTGCTACAGTGGTGACTAATTATTCAAATATATGATTTCATGGGGCCGTTCTTATTTAAACCACCATAATCATCAAAAACAGGGCAGGAACTCAAACAGGTTGGAAAGAGATGAAGAGGTCATGGAGGAATATTGCTTACTGGCTTGTACTTCATACTTTCAAGATCACCTGGGAATTGGGGATGAAAATTCCTTGTTCTACTACTAACATGTGTAATGTGATCACATGAAAAACATCTTCATTTCGCTGAATTTCAGTTTCTTTAAGTATGTAGTGTATTACCAGCTGATGTTTAGGGAAACTATGAGGTATACATGCATGTATGACAACAGTTACACACAGTAGTTGCTCAGTAAATGTTTTCAACTTAGAGTATATATAGTGGGTGAAAAGCTTCTGCACCCCAATAACTCTCTCCACCACTGTAGCAATCCAATCAGAGAAAATCAAACCAAATTAGAAAAAGGCCAGGTTTAGTGGGTAAAATGTTTCTGAATGATTTTCCATCCTTCCCTATAAATTCAGTCACATAAGGCTGATACTACTGGGTTCTAGGTGTCATGCAGGTGCAGACAAGCTCTAAGGTAGAAATGCCTAATGGCCCCTGGGGATGTTAAAGCCCCCCACCCCACAGCCATGCGATCCATGTATGACTCAGCTAAACCCTTGTGTGCATGCGTGGATTACAACATCCAGGTATGACTCAGATTACAACATCCACATATGAGTCAGCTAAGTCCTTGCATGCCTGCATGAACCCCATTATCAGCATATGATACGGCCGCATCAAACCCCTGTCCGCATGCGCTAGGCAGTTTTAAAAAGTTGGACATGCCATCTTCCCCCCTCTCTCTCTCTCTCCCCTCTCTCTCCCTCCCCCATACTGAATTCCCCAGGCCTGAACATGCCCCCTCTAATAAACTCCAAAGTGGGTTTATTGCTTGTTCTGTATTTCCTTCTCATTTGCGCCAGGTAATTTCACCCCAGCGAGGAGACAGGGAACAGAGAAGGAGAAACCATGTGTCTGTTTTCTCGGGGAAGGTTTAAATACCCTTTGGGAGCACTCTTGAGCATCTCTGGGGGAAAGGTCATCATTTGATGACCTTTATGAAATACTGTAGGGTTTGAAAAGAGATAGGGGGTGTAGAGTTTGAGGTGGAGCTTTCACCAGAACATTCCAGAATCTTTGAGTATATGGATGCCTGGGGCTGGGTTGGAAGTTGCACCAGAACATTTGTTCTATAGATTTGGATGCAGAAAGAAAAGAGCTTCAACTCATGCAGAACAGAATCCTGTTTCTTCCCTTCTCATTCAAGAGTTGGTGGGTCTCTTATTTATCACAACACTAATCCACACCCAGGGTTCCTGGGATCACTGCAGGTGTGAATTAGACCAGAAGTCAACACTAACACAGGTGTCTTCTGGGTGATTACAAGGAAGGGGTGAGCTAAAAACTTATCAGTCTCTAGCATAGGATATCACACATAAGGCAGTAGACAGGATTTCCTCTCAGCTGTCACTGCAACTATTCATTTCTTCATGGAGCCCCTTGGGTTTTAGCAAGAAATGTGATATCACCCTAGGGCCCAGTTTGCTAATCAAACTATAAACTTTCCCTAGCTGGGCTTCTGTATACATATCAACATTTTATTTTTCATATTTTAGCTTTTTTTCTTCAATCTTCAAGATCTTTTTCATAAAGTCAATCTGTTCAAATAATAACTTCTTTTCAAAAAAACCTTTACTAGATTCCCAGGGCTTCTACAACCAGATATCTGCTGAGGACTCTAAGATTATCTTTTTAAATTGCAAAAAATAACCCTGTTAAAACAGACAAGATCACCTGACAATATTGGGAACATGGGGGTGGAGGTAGAAGGAAGAGGAGAAGGGGAGGGTTAAAGAGAACTTGTGGGAATGGGATAGTAGAGATAGAGAAGGGGCAGATATGAGAGCAAGTAAAGAGATATCTTGATTGAGGGAGCCACTATGGGGTTCGCAAGAAACCTGGCTCCAGAAAAATTCCCATGAATCCCCAAGGATGACTCCAGCTATGGCCTTAAGCAACAGAGGAGAGGGTGCCTGAACTGGCCTTGCCCTGTATTCAGACTGATGTTTATCTTAAATATCACCATAGAACCTTCATCCAACAACAGATGGAAACAGAGGCAGGGAACCACATCGGAGCACTGGACTGAGCTCCCAAAGTCCAGTTGAAGAGTGGAAGAAGTGAGAATATGAGCAAGGATGTCAAGACCATGAGGGGTTCACCCACTGAAACAGTTTGCCTGAGCTAAGTGGGAGCTCACCGACTCCAACTGGACTGGGAGTGAATGAGCATAGGATCAAACTAATCCCTCTGAATGTGCTTGACAGTTGGGGCACACTGAGGGAGCATCGACAGTGTCATAGGGATTTATCTCTACTGCATGTACTGGCTTTTTGGGATCCCATTCTCTTTGGATGTATGTCTTGTTCAACCTAGATGTAGTAAAGAGGGCCTTGGACTTACCACAGGGCAGGGTGTCTTGCCCTTTCTTAGGATTGGAGGGGGAAGTGTTGGAGGGTGTGTGGAGGGAGTGAGAGGAGGGAAGGGAGTAGGAATTTGAATTGGTATTTTTCAAAGTAATATAATAATAATAATAATAAATAACCCTGTTAACATAATTTTTACTTTGCCTCTGTTTTCCCAGGTCTCCTTTCCTGAAAACCAGGGCTCAGGGTGTTGTAATAAATATTTACTTGTGCTTGTATGAGAAAGAGTAGGAAAAAGGAAGTAGAGAGAAAGGATTAGAGCTTATGTAGAAGGATGATTTGGGGGAGATCCTCCCTTTCTACATTATTTCTACCACTGTGTTGTGTGCTCCAGGTTCACTGGCCCAGGTCCCTCTGGATGATTCTCCTGTCTCCACCTCCCATCTCTCTGCAGGAGTGCTGTGATACAGACATGGTCTTCAGAATCTGGCTTTTTGTATGAGTTCTGTGAACTGAACTCAAATTGTGAGATTTACACAACTAGAGCTTTTACCATATTCTCAGTTCAGCTGAAACAAAAGTCAGTTTGATTGATTTTCTTCCTATTGTAGCATGATAACCTCAAAATGTACCTGGTCACTACCATCGAATCAGAGCTTTCTTTTATCAAAGAGTGAAATCACACAGCAGCTGAACTAAATCCTCTGCCTGACATGGATATCTTCAATTATCATCATATTGTTACTATGAATCAAAATTAAGTAAGAATTTTACATCATGCCAGAGAAAGCCGAGGGTGGGGGGTGGAGGGGGTGGGGGTGTGTGAGTGTTAGCTCCCGGGGGCTCCGGACAATTTCCGGGTGAGAGGGAAGCCGGGAGCTCAATTTCCGGGTGAGAGGGGCAGTTCAGCTAGCTGAATGGGAAAACTCACGATTGAGCCTCAGGCCGCATTCAGGCAGGTGGACTATGTGGGTCTGGGTGTGGAGCAGTCCTTAGTCCTGATCGTGCCCCGGAGCGAGTAGGGAGCTCCGGGCACAGCCGAAGCTCCGGCCCCGAGTGGAGATCCGGGGCGGACAGGTCTCCCGAGTGGTTTCGGCACCAATCTTCTGTTCTTCTGCTTCTTCTGCTTGCTCTTCTTCGGACTCGAAAGGAAGCAACAAAACCCACGTGGAGCGCGAGCTTTATTGCACCGTGCGGGAGAGAAGGGGAAAAGAGAGCGAACAGACGGCTTTCCAGCCTTTTAAAGGGTTCCCCACGCATGTGCGTCAGACGCCACGTGCTGCGCCTGCGCAGCCTTTGCGTGGAACGCTAGGGCCTCCTGGGAAATGTAGTTCCTCAGGCGAGCTACACTCAGGGGCCTTCTGGGGAATAACAGTAGCACAGTTAAGAAATACATTCATAGACACAAACATACACACACAAGTGAAACCTTATAATGTGTGAAATTATTTTCTAAAACACTATTATTCCTGTTTGAAGTCCTTCCTAACTCCACATCAGCATATTTTTCTACTTCATAAAATTGCTTTATATATTTTTGTATTTTAATTGATTCATCCCACTATATTCAGTTATTAATTGACAATTTCTATTAGTCTCTAGAATAGCTGCCTAAAATCCAAGTCTCTACTCCCTCAGCCTAGATAATTAAAGTCTAATGATGTCAGCATAACTACAGGAAAGTGTTACGTTCTATTCTGCCCTGTTCCTGCTACACCACAATCCCTTCCTCACAACAGTTGCTTAATTAGCCCATGCTGAAACAAGTTAATGATGTCATTTGTCAAGGAATCATAATGACAAAGGATTCATACTATGTTTTGCTTCTATTTAAATGACTTAAGTCAAAGTAACTGAGGATAAAATATCAGCAAACAGGATGAAAGGACAAATGTGAGACAGGATGTATGAAACAAAAAAGCACAGAACCCATAGATTCAAACAGCTCTGAGGTTGCACATGATTTGATTGACAAGTCAATCTGTAGGTGTTGCTGAAACTCTCAGATTGCTCACAGTCACATCTGAGTTTGCTCAACTTCAATCACACCCACACCAAGAGAAGATTTAGCAGGCATGTCATAAACTAAATCTGGAGGTCTTTTAGTTTTCTTCATCTTTGTTATATTTTGTCACAACTGTAACTTTTATTTTTCTCCAGTTCTATATGCACATATGCCATAGCTCAGAAAAATTAAGAGATGGGAGGAATTGTGCAATTTCTGTAGTGGACAAGAGATGTTATCCTGAAGCATTTGATATCATTGAATTTCCCCTAGGCTCAAGGTGGCCAAGTGCTATGAAGAGGACTAAGGTTTATTGGGGGAAATTATGAAACATTTTGTTGAATTCTAGGAAGACTTTAATTTCTCTCTTTATTTCTTACTTGACCCAGGGGTGATTCATTAGTTCACTGTTCAATTTCCATGAGTTTTTAGGCTTCCTAAGAGTACTATTGTTATTACTTTACAACTTTAATCCATGATGATTTGATAAGACACAGGGGCTACTCCAATTTTTTTTGTATCTATGGAGGTCTGTTTTGTTACCAAACATGTGATCAATTTTAAAGAAGGTTCCATGAGGTGCTGAGAAGAAGGTATTTTCTTTTGTGTTTGAGTGGAATGTTCTACAGATGTCTGCTAAGTCCATTTGATTCATGACATTTGTTAGTTCTCTTATTTCTCTGTTAAGCTTCTATCTGTTTGACCTGTCCATTGGTACGACTAAAGTGTTGAAGTCTACTATTATTAGTGTGTTGGCTTGGATGTGTGACTTAAGTTTTAGTAATGTTTCCATTGAGAAGTCGGGTGGTATTCACATAGGTCTACCTTCATATGTTACTTGCCCTTTTTCCTTTACAACTTTTAATATTATTTCATTATTCTGGATATTTTGAGTTTTTATTGTTATAAGGTAAACGGACTTTTTTTGATCCACTCTATTTGGTGTTCTGTAAGCTTTTTATACTATCATAGGGATATCCTTCTTTAGGTTGGGAAAGAGTGGATG